TTAGTAACATTAATAATTTTTTTGCGCACAATTTTGTATAAACAATACTCCGTATTTATTACACATAAAAATAAATCTTTATGGATTAATATTTTTTTTACGGAAACTGTAAAAAAACTAGTTTGACTGTAAGCATTTCTTAGAACATTTTTATTTGGACCAAATTTTTTAGTTTGATCTGATATGGTCTTATAAATGTCTTATAAGATATTTTTTAATTGGACAAAAATTCTCTTGCCTGTTGTGGTGTGTTTATGTTTGAGTTAACTTGTAAAATATGATGATGTATGTGTATTTTTACTATGACCCCCTCACACACTTTCCCGGCTCCGCCCCTGAATGTAAGGCCCGTGTTTCAGTAGGGAGTATATCTGAAGCTTATTTTAATTTAATAGTTAAACATCCAAATGGATGATCGGTGTATTTTTTTAGTGAGTAAAACGTAGTTGGCTAATCCGAAGAATAACCAGACCACGAGTATCGTCTCTCAAGGGGTGGCAAAAAGGAAGTTTTAAATACGATCCGTGATCACAGGCTAGCACAAGTCATGAAAATCTTTCCGAATATTTTTTTTTTGGGTGGAAAAAGAAAGAAAAAAAAAACTACCAGTGAGTGAAAAAATAAATAGAGTGAAAAGAAATAATTAAAGTGATTTTAGATATTAAAACAGGGCTCAAATTGGATGGTTCGGGTTCTGGGTGTTCTTTCGGGATTAGAATTAAGTTAATTAATTCTCAATTACTCCTGGAAAGAAAATGAAATAAATTCTCATAGACAAGAATTAAATCATATTTTCACAATCCTAACTTATTTTTGAGATCAGATTGCTTGTACAAGATCCGAGCTAATTTAACTCAATTTCTCATAGACAAGAATTGAATTAAATCCAAAAATTCATATATGAGGTGATCAAATTCATATAGGCAATTATGACTAGTCTCATACAATGTTCCAGAAAATTAATTGAATTTCAAAAAAACTAAACTCACACCCTCAAGAACCCATGAACCCTAACCCCAATTCAAACCCTATATGAAATTAGCTACTCATAACTAAAATCAACATGAGAGTATTATGATTAAGCATGATAAGAGCTAGAGAAATAATTGAATTATAAGTAATCAATGGAAAAGTCTGAAACTACCAGTTGGAGACAACCGAACTCCAAATTCAATCCAAATCAAGAACTAGTCAAGTAAAAACGGCTAACACTTACAATTCTTGTTTAGAATCTGAATTGAATTGAAATAAAATGAGAAAAAGTGAAGTTTATGCATTCCTTGATCTCTTGTTTGCTGCTACGGTTGATTGTCAAAGAAAGGAATGAAAAATCCTTGGGCCAACTAGTTAACGAAGGACAGAAAGAAAGACTCCAGCTGTGGCTACTGCTTGGTTGTATGCTACGGCTGCTGTTGGAACAGAAAGAATCGCATCCTCCTCCAGCTGCTTATGAACTGCTGCTACGAATAGAAAAGAAAATCTCCCGAGTTTTTTTCCGTATTAATGCTAATTAATTAAGTATTTACGAAAATAGGGTCGGGTTAAAAGTATTTTACGGATATACTGCTGGGCCTTAAACTCCAAGCTACATTTCAAGGTCCAAGATAGTATTGTTTCCTATCATCTACTTCCTTTCATGTTGATTTTTGGAATTTGATAGGAAACAACCAAGCTACATTTCAAGGTCCAAAATCAAGGTACCATCAAGATAGTAGTTCAGCGTTGCATCTCAAATGATTTGCAGAAACCTTCTTATGTTTGATCAGCACCAAAATGGGACAGTTTTGTGTTAAAGTTACTTATAGAATCATTGAAGTTGTGCAAGGCATTTCGGTGGAGAAGAATCATATCTTGTGGTGCTTATGGCTCTTATTCCACTTTTATTATCTCAATGCGAGAATTGTAAGGCGAGTTTTTGCCTAAAATATGATGGAAAATGATGTTTGTACCCACTTTTATACCCACTTTTGTACCCACCCATGTTTGTGAAATTATTTTTTTTGTCTGTGAATTCCTTCACAGACAAAATATGTCTGTGAAGGAATTCAAAGACATATTTTGTCTGTGAACCGGCTTCACAGACAAAAAATAGCCTTCACAGAGGTGGGTATAAGGTGGGTACAAAGTGGTGGGTACAACAAGCATGGTTGAAATATGATTTAACCATTCATTTAACTAAATTTCATCTCTTTATAATCTCTATCCTCACTGCCATTAGAAATAGTTACCACCCAGTGGCGGAACTAGGGGGTGCGAGCAGGTGCCGCCGCCCCCCGTTCGCCGGTGGTGGTAATGTGTGTGTGTGTGTGTGTGTGTGTGGGTATATTTGATTTACGCGCTGAATTATGTAATAATCAAAATAAGTAAGTTTACGTTATTTTTATCTAGATTGGTTGAAGTTACTTTAAATTAAAGGAGCATTTAAACTATATATCAATATCTCTTTTTTGTTTTCCTAACAAAATATGTTTTCAATATATTTTCCGTAATTCAATAGATTGAGACAATTTAGTCATTTCAGCGGGAACATAATCAATTTTGGGTGGTTTTGGTCCGTTCGATCAAATTTTTATGCTTCATTCTCAATGTAATCGAACCACCTACTACCTCCATCTCAAAATGAAAGTCTCATTTCTTTTGGGCTCAAAGATTAAAAAAGTGGTTGAAAAGGTAAAAGTTGTGGTTGAGATTTGAGTAGAAAAAGGTGAAATAATGTGGACCACATCTTTCTTTCCAAAAAGGGAAATGAGACTATCAATTTGGGACGGCCCAGAAAGGAAATATGAGACCATCAAATTAGGACGGAGGGAGTATGATCAGTTCGTATACGGTGCAACCCGTACACCATGAGCATCATGCTCCTGCGCCAAAACGACATCGTTTGAAGTATGCTGAAAAATTCGCGTGTTACTGTTCACGCGCGTGAACAGTAACCTTTGTTTTTGTTTTTCATCATCCAGGAGCAGAATGATGTAATTCGTGTGTAATGAAATGTAACTCAAGCTGATAAAAAATGTAATTGCAGGCATGTCGAAATGTAACTTGTCTAATACGGATAATTAGAAATAAAACATTGATCTCAAAGTAAAAAATGAGAATAAGATGTAAAACATTAATAGCAGTTTTTTTTGTAACTGATGGTAACTCTTGGCAAATGTAGCTTAGGTGTATACATAATGTAACTTGTTGAGACAAATCTAAATGTAACTCGTGCTTTAGTTGATGTAACTCGCTTATAAGAAGATGTAACTCATGCACATGAAGATGTAAATCGTTCATAAGATGAAGAAAAAAGTTAAAAAAGAAGTATATGATTGTGAAATACAATATACTTGTTTTATGTATGTTAATTAAATTTTGTAATTTGTTAAAAAAGAAGTTAATTCAATTGTAATTTAGTTAGTTAAAGATAAAGATAAGTAAAAATTGACAAAATATTAGATGTAACTCGCGCATAGAATGATGTAACTCGTGCACAGGAAGATGTAACTTCATATACTATAGAAAAATAATTCCAGATATTGTTTTGAAACATAATTCACACATGCGCAAATGTAATCAAAATAAATAAATTTATTGTCTTAAAAACACTAAAAACATATAAAAGAGATTAGAGACACTACAATATTATTGGAAAAAGATAAGTGTATGAATATGAAAAATATATTACAAAGAAAGGGTATAAAAAAATTGGTTGTAATTTCAATTGAATGAAGAAAAAAAGAAAATGAATATATATGAATAACGACTAAGACAAAATAAGTAATTAATTTATTTTGAAATGATGAAAATTTGGTCAAAATTTTTTACTATGTAATACATTTAGTGCTCCTAAATTAAAAAGAATCACTCAAAGTAAAAAAGTAAATAAAAATTAAAAGTAAAAAAAAAGGAAAAGGAAATAAAAGAAATGAGGGTGGGGGGTGCCACTAAGGCACTAACTATAATCCGTATTTGGTATTCAACAATAATAAAGCAGCACTATGTATTCCATCGTCCATTACTGATAAAAAACGGCACCGTATATGAACCGGTATACCATGAGCATGGTATTACCGGCAGGGGAGTATCTATGCACAGACTATGGTAGGCTAAAGCCCATGGTCACTTGGGGTCTGTTTGTAACAGCTTCTGCTTTTTAAAAAGTGTTTTTTAATGAAATGAGGAGAAGTGATTAAATAAAAGTTGATAGTGTTTGAGAAAAAAGTGATTTTGAAAAGTAAAAGTGGGTAGTGTTTGGTAAAATAAGTGCTTTTTGTGTAATAGAAAAAGTAAAAACACTTTTGACGCGGAAGCCGAGAAACATAAAAGTTGTAGTGTTTGGAAAAATAAGTGCTTTTTTAAAGCCAAAAGCTGAGAAGTGCTTTTTTAAAATGAGTTGCAAACCAACCCTTGGAAAATTTTCAATTTTTTTAGTGTAATTTTTTTCTTTTTTTACGTTTAGCCCATTCATCTAATATTTAAGCGTAGTATACTTTCTATTCAGTCTAGGGCATCTCAAATTCCTGGATCCGCCCCTGTATACCGGTCATACGGTATAATTGACCGAGTATGATTTAGTCGAGTTTTATGGTGTTCATCCTCATCGGTTCAGTTCTGATCCATTTTGACATATCGATATTTTTGTTCAAACCCTAATATAAATATCCTTAACCACTTCTTCAAACATCCTTGAAGAAACTATGATGACATTTATTCAAAAACAAAGCATGTAAAAGCAAGAGAAAAAAGAACCTGAAAAAAATTAACAGAGAAACATTGACATAAAAAGAGAGAAACATTAAAAGAGAAACATGAGCAAGTAGTGGGGATGGGGGGTTAGTCAAAAATAGAAAAAGGGGGGAATAACCTGTTGACAGGGTTGGCAAAGATGGGTTAGAAAGGAAAGGGCTAAAACAACCTCCTTAACCGTTACCAATTGTGTTGCTTAGAAATCACGTTTCTATGCCCTTTCGCAAATCCAGAATTCTTTTATTTATACCCCCTCTCTTCCTCAAACTCCCCCTTTATTTTTTTCATCAACCAACAATCATTCATTCTTTCATTCAATTCACTCCCCACCTTTTCCCCATTTCTTCCCCAACTTTTCATTGCCTTTCTGTTCTTTCTCCATTACCAGCTGCCTTATAAAAGCACATATCCCCGAATCCTCTTTGTTTATTAGTAATAATAATTGGCTTTAGAGATGGAAAAAAGGCTGGGGGGAGGCGATACGGCGGCGGAGGAAGAACAGGCGCAGCAGCAGATGGATCTGCCACCGGGGTTTCGATTCCACCCCACGGATGAAGAGCTCATCACCCATTACCTCACAAAGAAGGCTCTTGACTGTTCCTTTTCTGCTATTGCCATAGGAGAGGTGGACATGAACAAGGTTGAGCCTTGGGACTTGCCATGTAAGCTAGCTACCTCTTCTTTTTAATGTAAGAAAAGAAGGGAAAATAAGCAATTGAACTATTAGCGATTTCGCAATCAAACTCCGGAACGGAAAGACTTGCAAATACACTCTTATTCCATTGATTTTTTTTTTTTTGGCAAATCTTTCTAATCTATTATAGTATATGTTCATTAACACATTGAAAGTTAAGCAATTGAGTAAAAGTAATCTGATTGCATAAATTTCTTTGAGTTGATGGTGTATGTGCAAGTCTTCAACTTCAGGGTCTGATTACATATTTACATCGCAAATAGTTCGAAGACTTACCTAATGTAATTTTCTACTTATATTTGAGTATTTCACCCAATAATAGTCTTTCTCTTGTATGTATGTTAAGACCAGTATTTTGATTCTAAAAAGTCTACCCAACATCATAAGAGCAATAACTAGAAATTTTGTGTACTAGTTTTTTATTTCATATTCCCAAAATTTTACTAAATTCAATTTGTATTATTAATTATTGCGGATTACCATGTTAACGGTTAACACGTTCAACTAATTATTACATACTATTACTTGTAACCGTGTTGACTATTTGGTCATAATAAGTGGTCTTATGTCTTATTTGGTATTTTTTTATGATTTAATTAAATTCTTTCTTATTTTATAAATTTTGTTATATCAACTTCATAATTTAGTTATTTTTAACTGATTAATATGTTACTACAAACCTAAAAGAACTTTGGATTATGAAAATTTGAAAATATATACATCTAGAAATATTTAATAGGGAGTACTACATAGTAGTAAGGTTTGACATATTATTTTCCGACATTTCTGTTATTTGTTCAACACTTTAAAACGAAAAACGAAAAACATAGTTAAGTATGTATCATAATGAAAGTTAATAATGTATTTTGAAATATTTTCTCAAATCAACTAAATTTATGAATTGTAAAATTTATATTCTAATAAGTATGAAATTTAAGATATTACAGCTGAATGAGAATAAAAGAAATATAAATAGAATAAAAATTTAAAAAAAATATCCAGAAGTATAACTATAGGAACATTTCCAAAATCATAGAAAAAAAGAAAAATTCCTAAATAGAAGTACATTTTTGTTTCCAACCAAGAGTAAAATTTTGCAATCTAAAATCGTTTTATTAATACTCCTTATTATATAGAGAGAATTATTTAAATAAAACTAAAACACACATAAAATATACAATTAGGACGTTTTTAAAACAGGACTCGTCCATTCATAATTGGACAAGTTTTATACCGAGTACTAGATATTTGTAAGCTTTTTATACGGAGTATGTTTTAGTCCTAAGTAATTTCTTTAATATTATTTTGCCAGCATAAACATATACGGAGTACTGAACTACTGATTACGTGAAAAAGAAAACATAATGCTCCTAACAGTATAAGACTCGTACTATTTTGCCAACATGCTATTCTTATGCCAGTTATATACTATCCTCCGTCTCTTTTTAATTGCAACATGTTGAATTTTACATTATTCACATGTTCTACTTTGACTACATTTTATGATATTATTTTATGAAAATTATTTTTCTAAAAATTTTTTGTTCAATTCATCTCATTACAAATTTTCAAAATCTAATTTTTAAATTTTTTTACTAATAGAGATTAAGATATAATTATAGTCAAAGATGTGCGTTGGCAAGTGTGAAATGTTGACTGTTGCAACTAAAAAAGAACGGAGGAAGTATAACATTTAAGACTCGTACTGCAGCTCATTTTCAGCATCTAATGAATACTAACGGTATTTTATTGTTTCTTGGTGCTTCTAATGAATACTTCTTATATCTTTGTATAGGGAAATCAAGAATTGGGGAAAAGGAATGGTATTTTTTCTGTGTGAGGGACAAGAAGTACCCAACAGGCCTAAGAACCAACAGAGCCACTGCTTCTGGTTACTGGAAGGCCACCGGAAAAGACAAGGACATTTTCCGGGGGAAATGTCTCGTCGGGATGAAGAAAACCCTAGTTTTCTACCATGGTAGAGCTCCTAAAGGAGAGAAAACCAACTGGGTCTGCCATGAGTACAGATTAGAAGGCAAATTTTCACTCCACAACTTCCCCAATGCTGCTCAGGTTTAACTAATACCATTTCCCCTGTTTTCCCCTGTTTTGTTTACTCTGTTTCCCCTGTTTCATTTACTCTGTGTCCCCTGTTTTTTCCTAATCTCAATTCATTCTTTTATTGCAGCATAGTGATTGGGTAATCAGCAGAGTGTTTCACAAGAGCTCCGGTGGGAAAAAAGACGATATTTCAGGTTTATTGGACAACAACAGATCATCCGTTCTCCCGCCATTAGCTGATTCATCACCGACTAGAACGCAACCGGAATCCGGCAGCCACGTGCACTGCTTCTCCAAAAACCAGCAAGAAAGTATGGGGATGATGAATTCTCTAAACAACCCCGCTCCATTACATGTTTCATCATCATCTTCTTCTTTAGCTCCAGATCGGAATGTTTTCCAGTGGGGCTTCTTGAATTATGGATCATTTCCTCCCATCCAAGAGGATCATATAAACCTAAGCTTCAAAACAGAGGATGTTGTGTGCCTAGAGAATGGTGAGCTGAAAACTCAAATATCTTCTGGTCCACATGAGCTTGACTGCCTCTGGTCTTACTAAAACAATTGTGAGGGTTTTGATATTTAGTTACCATTTCACCCGTGATGGTGTGATCCATATTATAATATGGATCGTTATTTTATCCATCACGTGTGAAATGATAATCAGTACCAAAATTTCTATAGATGTTACTTTTATTTTTATTGTTGATTGACTTAGGACTATACTGATATGAATTATGAGGATTGTTATTATTATGATTAAGATGTCGTTTGTAATTAAATAGCTTGGATATTAAAACTTGGTTGAGAATAGGAGATTCCAACTGAAAGAAGATGTATACTTGATAATGAGGATGAGGTTGTTGGCGGCTTGATCCTCTTTCTATCCATGTTTTTTGGTTTTGGAAATCTGTTTGAAACGACTCTCTTTGTCCATTTTTCTGTTACATCATCATTATTTTATATTGCTTTTATTTATTTATTTAGGCTATGAACTTTTTATGGGTTTGTTAGGAGTGGACACTTTATAAGTATATATATATGTACATCAAAGAATCAAACCCTACCGTCAGAAGAGATGGCTGCATGGTTGGTCCATGTCCACTATACCATTTTGAATCTTTTGGCTACGAAAAGGATTGATTGTTGAGAATTTGTTTAGTTGTGTTTTCATTTATTGATCATCATCATCATTATATAATATTTTGATTAATAAGTGTGAATGTATTTTTTATGAACAACCTATCTAAGTTGTATTCATGCGATAACATTTATACCTTCAATTAGTTGTATCTATTCCAACTACTAGTATAAAAGTATAATTACCAAGTACTACACGTGTTCCTAATTTGTAAATACATTTTTGTTTTTGCTATTTGAATTCAATCTAATTTCAATTCTCTTTTTTACTTTTTCACTATCTTGTTATATGTCATTTCATCTTCCATTTTGGTGATATTTCAATCAACCACACTTGAGGTACACACTTTTCATACACACTTATACACACTCGTGTCTGTGAAGAATTATTTTTTGTCTGTATACAGACATAACGTATTTTTTGTCTGTGTACAGACAAAAAATAACTCTTCACAGACACGAGTGTGTATAAGTGTATATCTTTCAATAGTCTTCTATCATTAAAGGTTACAATGGTAAAATAACAATGATTTGAGGAAGTCATTGATTTTAGATAACAAAAAATACTACGTATTAAATAAATATGTAATGTCAAATAAATTGGACTAGTAAGGATCCAAATTGCACTAGAAAGCGAAAAGAGAATACAAATGGCTGAAACAGAAAATTGAATACATAGATGAAGTACGTAATACGTATAAAGGATTAGGTGCATGCTCTATAGAGAGTGAAAGGGTAATATAAAGCTTAGGGAAAAATAGAAATTTCAATAAAAGATACTACGTACTATGTATGTTGTATCTAGGCAAGACTGCAAAGAGTATGAGTATCTTTCACACACCTTAGTTAAAATGTACTTTTGTGAGGTTTTTCAATTATTAGAATAAGGTAAACAAAAGATTTTAAATGAAAAGATTGGTAGTTGTTTGACACTTGATTTTAGTTATGTTTGATATGACAATGAGTTGTGATTAATTAATGTTAAATGTTACAAACTTTTTTTCAAAGCTATTCATTGTAGCTTTCAAAAATGGTATTTAATTTTTAAAAAGCTCTTAGAATAGTGATGACAAACATACAAGTATACAACTAAAAACTTTTAATTTCTTAAACAGTAGTGCGTATTAAAGCTAAAATGTAGAGACTTATTACTTATGTCTATCAAACATGTGACAATTAATTCTTGTCTCTTTTAAAAATCAAGAAATTTGAGTGTAATATGCTTCTAACAAAGTGCTTGTTTGGCTAACATATGTCAAAATGAGTGTTTAGAACTTAGCTTGCTAAGGGTCTGTTCGCAACAACTTCTGCTTTTAAAAAAGTATTTTTTTAATGGAATGGGCAGAAGTGATTAAATAAAAGTTGATAGTGTTTGAGAAAAAAGTGATTTTGAAAAGCAAAAGTGGGTAGTGTTTGGTAAAATAAGTGCTTTTTGTGTAATAGAAAAAGTAAAAGCACTTTTGACGCGGAAGTCGAGAAAAATAAAAGTTGTAGTGTTTGGGAAAATAAGTGCCTTTTTAAAGCCAAAAGTTGAGAAGTGCTTTTTTAAAAGCAGTTGTAAACCAACCCTTAACGTGTGCAATTCACTTATCCCGAGGTGTTTTCTAGATTATTATTTACTGGACTATTTTTAGGGTGTAAAATCTGCAACCTAACAAACTCATTATTAGCTCCACAATTTGTGAATATAAAACGTTATTAGCACAAATCATCAACAATGTCAATCAGCAATTTGTGAATGATAGAAAGTGTGGAATATAAAAGCAAAAAGTTGCATCAACACATCAACAGTCGGTCAATCATGTACCTATGTGTAAAGAAGGAATTTATTAAAAGCATATAAATTGTCACATAAACCAGCCATGTCAATTACAGTAATGATATTTATATTTTTTAATGTCAATTTGTTTCCCTAAAACAGTTAATTTTACATTTTTTTAAATTTTTTTTCTTTTTTATTTTATTTTACAATTTGTATCCTTGTTCTTGTTGGGGGAAACAATACCCCGGCATCTCAAGAATCACGAGTTCATAGCACTCTTGTGCACTCACTCACACAAGTAATACAAAGATTCAATCTGACAATATTGATCACTTTGTATCATACAATTGAAATGTGAAAGAGAAATTTACGAGTAAACATGTACCTTACTTCATTCTTTGTATATTAGACTACTTTACTCACATTTTCCTTTATCAAAGAGGCTCTCACTCATTCAAGAACTCTCCATAAGACTCTTCTCTGTCATCACTCAAGGAGGCTCTCACAAGGCTCTCACTTAGGAATGAGGGGTCTCACCCCTATATATATACTAATCTCCTCAAAGTTTCTCTCTAATCTTCTAGAAGGATCTAGAGAACTCCACAATGCTTCAGAATGTTCTAGAGGCTTCCACACAATTCTAAAGAATTCCACACTTATCTAGAAAACTCCACAATGTTCTAGAATATTCTACACTCTTCCACATACTTCTAGATAATCTCATGTCTCTCCAAAAGGTTCCAAAATATTCTTGACCATTCAATACTTCTCTACACTCCTATAGAGAAATCTAGACATCTCCACAATATTCTAGAATTCTCATTAACTTCTCGATTAAGAAAGTAACCAACAATTCTTTCTAAACTTTTCTCTTTACACTTTTGTATATCATATCAGATACGGATGGCAACGGGGCGGATCGGGGACGGTTTTACATATAACCGTACCCGCCCTGTTGGGTAATCCCCCGCTCCATTACCCAACGGGTATTTTTTTTTCAAACCATAATCGTCCCAACGGGTAACGGGTATAACCGCGGGTAACCGCATGCAATCGTTTTATTAAATGAGTCATTGATATTTTAATATAAAAATAGTATTTTAAAAGGCAAAAAAATGTCCCGCCTAGACGACTCTAGATTCAGACGTCACTTTGAAGTTTCGTGTGGCTCCAAGGCGAGAAAGAAGACAACCTAAATTAATTTGAATCTAAAATTACTTAATCTCAGATATAATTAATCATGAAAAATATGATTATAATCAAACAAGACAATTAAAATCTATTATGAACTTTTATTCATACATTATAGTTTATTTTGCCGAATTCATACATTAGTGTTTATTATTACACTAATGTATTATGAAAATATGATTATAATCTATTATGAACTTTCATTCATACATTATAGTTTATTAAAAATATGATTATAATCAAACAAGACTATTAAGATATATTATGAACTTTCATCTATTATCCATATATACACAATGAAAATAGAAAAATATCATCTTTTAGTAATCACTTTTGTTTTGGGAAAATGTTTTAGTAATCATGGGACAAATAATAAATAAAAATGTAATAACAATATAACTAAAAATAAACGGGGCGGATACAGGGCGGGTAATGGGGCGGGCATGTAAGAAACCGTAATTGCCCTCTTACCCGTAAAAACAAAATGGGTATTCCCTGCCCCATATCTGTTACCCGGTCAATGCGGTTTTCCCCGTTTTGACCGGGGCGGTTCGGTGCGGGTATCCATCGGATCGGTCACAATTGGCATCCCTAGTTTTGCCTAATGTAAAGTTAGCATTTTCATTCTTTATCGAGTCTTATATTTAAAAGTCATTATATTCCATTGAAGTATTTCATTGGAAAGTTAAACTCATTTGTGGTGACTATAATACTATACTTCCTTATAAATTTATACTCCGTATTATTCTTTATTTTTTGTTTGTACTTGCTCCAAAGACAAATTCACACAAATGACATTACTTGTAATCTAGTTGCTCCTTCCGCACAAATAATTCCCTTCTTTTTTGAGCCGCTGAACTACTCGATCATGAACTCCATTACCACCATTTCCCTGATTAACTCAGCTAATCCGTGAGGGCTCCCTTGATAGGATTTGAACTCAACACCTCTTATGAAAGAGAGGCTTGAGATGAATGTCCAACAAAGTAAGCACATCACCAACCTCATTCCCCCACCTTATTGTATTCTTTCTCTCTATTTAAAGTAATAATTCTATTAGTCTCGTCAAAGATGACAATAATACATATTGTCATTATTTATATTATTACTATTTCATTGATATTTATACTACGTATTTAATAATTCAAAGAAGTTAATGAATTGGAAAAAAGTAGAGACTAATATAAACTTTTTTGAAATAAAAAGGTGATAAAAAAGTTGCACGAAGCAAGTTTTCATCATTGATCAATGACACCAAAATTAAACGCTAATTAAATAGGGTGTTTGACAACTGTAAACACTTGGCTTGTATACGCATTTTTTCCTGAAGTACATGGCTAATGGTCATGATGTCATGTTTGGCCATAACATATACGGAGTACCACTTTCTACGTTTTTGTTTAGTTACGTTGTACCAAACAATCTATTTTTGTTTTCAATTCACGAATTCACTTATTCATATATTTATTGATTGTTTATATAATAATTGAATTAAATATTATTTTAGTCTTCAATTCGTAAATACTCGTTCCATTATATTTTACTATGATTGTCCCATTTTCTTTTAGCGTCTATCTCACTAAGATTATTTCATACCATATTTGGTAGTATTTGTATTGTATTGTATTATTCTAATTCATTTTTACTTTATTCACACTTTATTAATTCAATACTTATCACATAATTCTATTTTTTAACAACCACACTTCATTTTTACAATACTCTACTCTAGCTTAATATAATTATTCAATCTTTGGGGCGGATGTAGTATGTCTTTTTATTTTACATCCCTATATTTATGTTAATTCTTTAGTCA